CTTGTCCTCGTGAATGTTAAAGGCACAACAGAAATGCCCTGGCTATCTGGGCTTTAAAGTTATTCAAAATAGTGACTACAGAGTCTATTGTATTGAGGATTCTCTCCACACTGGTTTCTCTGAGCAGACTGGCCATTCAAACTTAAGTATAGAAGACTGAACCATCTTTTAAAAACTCCTCAATGGCATCCCAAAATGCTTAGAATAAAACCCAAGGCCCTACATGAGCTGGCCCTCAAGTACCTGTCCGTTCTCATCTCATTCCGTTCTCCCTTTTGTCCACCAGGCTCCCGCCATCTTTTGCTCCTGGGAAATAGCAACCCCCTTCTACCCTGAGTACTACGACTCAGTAGTATTAGAGTACTAATACTCAGTAGTATTAGAGCACTCTAATATTACTGACCCAGGGTATGCTATCAGTCAATTTACCTTTGGAAGGAGAAGAAAGATTCCTGTTTTTCACCGGACATCCAGAATTTGACTGACATGTTTTTTATCAGCTCTGGACCCCAAAAGCACCAAGACAACAAAGGGGATAAAACATGGCTCCTTCAAGCACAGAACTCAGAAAGTCTGGCAATGGTGTGTTTGTGCAGTTGTTTTGATTTCAGAAGTGGAAAGTCTTTATTTAACTCTATATAATGTGTATATAATAATATAATTTTAAGGCACCTGCTTCAAAATAGAAACTGGGATGTTGGAGATAATAACAATAAACAAAAATTAAACCAAACTGGGCTCAGCGCCCAGGAAAACTACCGAGATTCCAAGAACTGGGCAAAGAATAAGGGAGTAGAGAGCACAAGGCAGGCAGGGTTGGAAAAATGACTGCTCTGCAGCGCCATCTCGGTTAGTAGTTCTGTGGGGCATTTGTCATGTGGGTGGGGTTCCTGCCCTTCTCATTTCAGTGACAGGCTTCCAGGGCAACTTGCTTTTCTAAAATGTCAATCCTAAACATGCCAGTAATTACAGTGATCCTGCATTGTGTTTTGAGTTTTTATAATGCTGTGAACCACTTGGAAATAAGTGGAACAGAAGTAAAAATAGGAGTTCATAACGACTTTAAAGCTAGAAGGAAAACGTTCATGTTTCCCAGGATGCCTAAATGTCGTGTAATTTACATAAACAAAGGAGGAAATCCTCTTTGTGTGTTTAGGGGTGTGTGTCTAATACAGGAACCCATGTTTTCCTGTTATTGAAAAGTATTCTTTAATCTTTTCAGCACATTTTAGGACCTGCCTGTATTCCAGGTATGTTGTTTCCTCTGCCATGAAAACAGAAGAGCAGGGCATGGCTGGCAGAGAAACCTATTAGATCTCATAGGAGACACATGAAATAAATGCATTAAGTTAAATGGCTAGACTGATAACTGTTGCCTGAATTTAGTTCGAGGAATGGACTCACACACAGAGCCATAAGCCAGATAGGCTGTGTGTGAATAGAAGACTATAAAATTTCCCCTGATGGAGAGTGTTAAAGGGATGGTGACTTTTTTTTTTTAATGGTTTATAAAATGTAGTTTTATTTTATGTTACTCTGCTGTTACATAGGGCATAACATTTCCACAAGGCTTTTTTGGGACTACAGTCAATGATTAGCAACACACAATAGTGGTCCAACTCTCTACATGACAATCACTAGACAAACTGGACACCCTCTCATATGTGCACAAATCTGCATGGAAAAGTACTAACGTTTTAGACTTGGACTTGTGTACTTTATTTTCCCTTTCTAGTGTATGAAGAAATGACATGCACCTTAATTTGCCAAAAGCAATGCTTGTGTTCTGGCAGCAACATGCTACTTCTATTACATAGTAAAGTGAATACCAGAACTACAAAGGCAGGAGGTGTAAGTGAATTTTTATTGGGAAGGGAAGTTGTCAACTTAAACAGCAGCAGTGAAGAATGAATAAGGAAACTTCCTGTTGTCACAGATATACAAGACCTCCATCATATATGATACAGGAGGCATTTCAATTTGTGACCCCCAGCGCAGAAATGCCAAATGCTTTTCCATTCAATCGAATACTTCTGGATTCCTACCAAAAAGGAATACATTAAGAGCAAGGAAAAGTTGCTTACTCAAAGGAAACCCCTGAAGAAGAGTAAGGGAGGGAATGTAGAAATTAAGTTATGTAGAACACTTTGTAAATTGTAATGACTACATTTTCATATCTTCATAGTAATACAAAACACAGTCACTTGCACAACTGGTTCACATTACTTCAATACCAGATACATTTTTAGTCCTCTACATAAGTTTTTGGAAGTTACTTATGTTTATATGAAATGAAGCTATTAATACTTTTCTACAGCAGTAACTGCACACCAGGAAGGCCAAGACAAACACAAATCAAGGAGTGGAGTTTTCCCAAAGCTGCTGTGTGAAAAGACTATAAACTGTTGATTCCATACACAGGAATGGGTTTCTTTGCTATAGGAAATCCAAATAGAATAAGGAATGGAGATGAGTAAAAAGGTTTCTTGAGGGGAAGAAGGATGACCACCCTGTACGCATTTAGCTTTCTGCCCCTTCTGCCACATCACATTCTTCTCCTGCACTGTCTGATGTCCATAATGTTAGGTTGTCTCTAAGCAACTGCATGATGAGGGTGCTGTCTTTGTATGAATCTTCATTCAGTGTATCAAGTTCTGCAATGGCCTCATCAAAAGCTGTTTTAGCCAGTGTGCAGGCAAGCTCTGGGTTATTAGGATCTCATAGTAAAATACAGAAAAGTTAAGAGCCAGCCCCAGTCGGATTGGGTATGTGGGCTGCATCTCTTTCTTGCTTATATCAAAAGCTTCTTGGTAAGCTCCTTGGGAATTATCTATCGTTTGTTTTCGATCATCACCACATGCAACTTCAGCAAGGTACCGGAAGTAATCTCCCTTCGTTTTCAGATAGAAGACCTTACTCTCTGGATTAGTTGCATTGGCTATTAAATACTTATCCAACAATTCCAGCACCGTGGTGCAGATGGACCTTAGCTCAGACTCCACTTTCTCCCGATAGTCCTTAATCAGCTGCAACTTCTTGTCGGAGGTGTCGGTTTTCTGCTCGATGCTCGAGATGACCCTCCAGGCGGACCTGCGGCCCCCGACCACGTTTTTGTAGGGCCACCAAGAGCAGGTTGCGCTCCTCGTTGGACAGCTCGGCGCCCTGCTCGGTCACGGCCTTCATGCAGGTGGCCATGTCGTCATAGCGCTCGGCCTGTTCAGCCAGCTTCACCTTCTGGATCAGCTCCGTCTTCTCCATGGGGACGCGGAGAGGAGAGCAAGGGCGAGCACCGACCCGGATTGGGAGGAGGCTTGCGGACGGCCTTGCCGCCAGAGCCGTCCCTGAGGAGAGCGGCTTCGAGGCCGGCCGCTCCCGAGGGTCGGCCACCCGCCCTGCCCTCAGCCCCGGCCAGGCCCAGCGGATGGTGACTTTTTAGCCATGAAAGTAAACGTAATTGGTATGAAATGTTCAGAAGCTTTTAGCCAAATCTGACATAATGAGTAATAAACCTAAGCATTATTTGAAATTATTTCTTAAATGTTTGCTAAATTCTGGTTTGGAGCAAAGGGGAGAGTGTCATAAAAAGAGGTCTTTAGTCTCAGAAGCCCAGGGCTCTCACCAGACGTGAGGGCACGGTGCCCACATCTCATTCGTCTCTTGGTCCCTGCGTTCCTGCGTTGATGACCCCAGATACTGAAACTGCCCTACACTCTCCTATGCATGGAGGACAGTCTTCTTACCAGCAGCCGTGACTGGAGCAGGTGCTTTCTGTCCTTCATCCCTCAAGGATTCTTTTTGCCATCTGTTGAACATCTGCATAGTTATCTGGAAATGTAGGACCTGCAGGGTTATTGAAACAAAGAAAGAATGTGCCGTCGATGCACAGGCTCATTAGGATTACATTCATTACAAGTAGTACTTTCCACTTTTTCTGGTTCCCTTAATAGCATCATTTCTGTTAAATTTTACAAATTCCTACAGCCAGGCCTCAGGAGGAGCTTTTAGGAAAGCCCTTTTAAAACACTTAATGACCACCCCACCCTGGAGGCTCTAAGTCACGAAGTATGCAGATGTGGAAATATCCAGAGTGACTCTCTCCTAGTGGCTGGTGCTTGGCCTCTGTCTGAGGGGTGACACTGTCCACCCTCAGCATGGAAAGGGCAAAGGAAGAACTGACTAAGGCTGGGAGCAGCAGCTGTCTTGGTCCTGCAGGTGTGGTGACCTCAGGAATTTGGGAGGGGGGCGGTGCATGAATGCCAAACACAGAAACAGATGCAAACTAGATTCAAACTGAACAATATTTTTTTCATTATTTATTTATTTTAAAAGATTTCACTTATTTATTTGAAAGAGAGGGAGACACAGCAAGAGAGGGAACACAAGCAGGGGGAGTAGGAGAGGGAGAAGCAGGCTTCCCGCAGAGCAGGGAGCCAAACGTGGGGCTCGATCCCAGGACCCCGGGATCATGACCTGAGCCAAAGGCAGACGCTTAACAACTGAGCCACCCAGGCACCCCCAAATATTTTTTTAAAGTGAAGCATTACTCTATCTTACTGGTAAAGCCTGATTTATTTACACTGGAATATCACACTGGAAATATGCATTGCAGTTCCCTAGGGGAGCCAGTAACCTCCACTTCCTTTACAATTCAGCTTTTCCCAGTGAACTCTACCCTGATGGCCTGCCAGCCCGGCATGCTGCTTTCCCTGCAGTTGGTCATCGTGCACTTGTGGCCTCCGTTAAAAGTGCTTGGTGTCCCTCGGTTGAGTTGTGTTTAGTTTGAATGAAGACATAAATGAAGCAGCCTTCACAATTATAATCATGTTGTAATTACTTGAGAGTGGAGAGTATAACTATTTCTTTTGAGTTCACCCCTCATCAAAGACACACATATTCATGCTCTGTGTGTGTGTGTGTGTGTGTGTGTATACACACGTAGGTGTAATGAGAAAACAAACCAACCTTCGCGCCTGCTAATCTGAGTGGTCTTTTCTTGGCAGTGACAAACAAGAAACCCACACAGGCATCCATCACGAAGGTCAAACAGTTTGAAGGCTCCACGTCGTTCGTGCGGAGATCACAATGGATGCTTGAGCAACTTCGCCAGGTTAATGGCATCGATCCTAATCGGGTGAGTGAATGCCCAGCGTTGAGCGAAGGTGTTCTCTTCACACGAGGACTCTCTCGCTGACCTTGGCAGTGCTGGTAGTTATCTGAGTCATCTCTAACAAACTATTTCTCTATTTCAGTGATGTGGCTAAGACTTTTGGATTTCTGTGTCCTTATGGGGAACTACAAGTCTTTTCATCATGTTTGATGCAGAAACGTAAAGGGATGCATATCGAAGAAATGCTGGCTCCTGTATGTGTATCAGCCAAGTGCAAAGGGCAGAGTTCAGATATCATGTCCATGGTTATTAATATGAAAAACTACGTTCATCAAAGCTTCATTTATCTCCTAATACCACCAGTGATGAGGTTTTTTTTCCAAAACAAATAGATGACACCTTACAAATTATGTATTTGGATTTATACATGAGAAACATTTTAAGGTAGAATTGTTTATTTAAGTACTTTCCCTTTTGCTCACACATACTCGCTGTGCAAAACCTCAATAATGAGGAAAAATAAAATGTAAATTGTAACTATATGCTAAAATAATAAGGGAGAATCTTTTCCTTACCAAAGGTTAGGGGCAAGATTAATTAATAGAGCTAAGAACCTGAAGGAATCCTTTTCCAGGTCCTTGGGAAGGCAGCATGTAGCCTAAATTCTGCCAGATCCATGTGTGGTATGCTGGAAGGGCTTTTGTGTTACTAGCCTCCTAGGGACATCTATAAATACTCTTCAGATCTGGGGGGTTGCTTGATAAACAGAAAGGTGGACTCTCTTTCCATGCATCTAGGTGCTAATAAAGATGAGCCTTGTGATTAAGACCAAAGTTTTGAAAGGTGTTTTTGCCTTTACGAGTCTTTTGTCAGGAGTAAGCTGAAAGCAGCAGTTTTTATAGATTGACATCAGTGGTTATTTCACTGTCTTTTCCAGGATTCTGCAGAGTTTGATTTGTTGTTTGAAAACGCATTTGACCAGTGGGTAGCCAGCACAGCCTCAGAAAAATGCACCTTCTTCCAGATCCTCCACCACACCTGCCAGAGGTACCTCACGGACAGGAAGCCGGAGTTTATTAACTGCCAGTCCAAAATCATGGGAGGTGAGTGGGCATTTGTAGGGCTTTGCTCATCCTGTCTCCTTAGACTCACTTTTACATAAAAAGTTAGGTGTTCGGCAGCATAATTAAAGACAAAAAAAGAATCAGGATGCTCAGAGTTAGACAGCATGAGAACCATTCTAGGGAGTTCTTTGAGTGCTAAATCCAGACACGGTGGTATGTTTTCACTCTTAACCAAAAGCTGGTCTTTTTAGAAGAATTAGCCACTTAGCTAAGACTGTTTATACTATGAGAACTAACATGCCCCTTTATTAGGAAAAACTCTCAGTTTGATTTCTTTACTAACATTTCTGTACTTTCATTGCAGAGCACTGTTTTCTAGGCTGCTTTTTCCTATTATTTCTCACGATATTTTACAAATATTAACATACAAATTCTTACAGATGTAGTCCCTTTCTTTCAAATAGCAGCTAGTCTTAGGTTTATTCCTCGGATGGCATACAGAGCAGAGTGAGGCTGAGTGCTCTAAGCCAGCCAGAAGGGGTGAGTACCAGTGTTGGCAACTTAATGAGAAACATTTAGAGGGTGCCTAACACATTTCTTTTAGGTGGCATTTCTTTTTAGGGAATTGAAACTGAGCTAAAAATATTTTTAAGAAGCCTTGCCAATCACTCTGTGAGTTGAGGAAGAGCGTTTCTGTCATTGCTCTTTTCACTAACCTATTCTCCTGGTTTTGCCCAAAAAAAAAAAAATTGTGCACCAACTTGGTTTTAATCAAATGTCAAATGAAGGTCACATTATAGACATTACATCTTCTCCTTGAGCTGTACGTATCTTTCATATGAACATGGCACGGAACCCATTATTCCACCCTAGCCCCTGACGTACACGGCATCATTTTGCCATTAGTCTGCTAGATGTCATTAGAGAAGATTCTGGCCATTAGAGAAGATTCTATCTTCTCTGTTGTTATCTACTGACATGTTGATGTTCCTCTTGAACAGTAAGTTGCTTGCATCCTAAGAACCTAGAAAGGTCTTCCTTAGGCGTCGATGCAGTATTTTATTACAGCTTCTCCATTTAGTCCTCGAAAAATGTTGTTGAGTAGTGCACATTGTCTTCCAAGTGGCCCCATCCTGCGCACAAAAGCAAAAACTATTAGATGTAGATGTTGAAAGGAAAGAGATCATCTAACACTGGCCTCCTACCGTTTAGAAAATAGAATGAGCTACTGCTCGCCATCCTGTCTGTGCCCCCGGCGCTCTTCACACGGATCCCACATGCGAAGCCTAGCTGTAACAGACCTGGCAGGTCAGGGCGCACCGGGCTCAGGACCACAGACGACAAGAGTATTTCAGTGACTGCAAAATGGGCCCGGAAATCCCAGCTTTCCCTCATTCTTCATTAGGTGAGGCTTGTCTCTGCTATCCTAGAATCAGATTTGTTTCTTGATCTCAGGGTCCTCCTAGGAAATGTTTTTCCATTGGTGTCCGTATGGTCCGTAGCATACCATGGAAAGCAAGTAAACAGAGTCTCCTCTGAAAATAAGGTGACATTATGGGTTTGAAATTTCTATTGCCCTTGGAGAGGGACTCCCCTCATGCATTCTACTTCTGCGTGGTCCATCCTGAGAGCAGAGTGGCCAGAAGCAGAAGCAGGGCCATGGGAATTGGCACATTTCCTCAGAAGGGGAATGTGAGGCAGAAGCAGGAGGACCCCAGCCTCACTCCCTCCACTGTCCTTGCAGGAGAAACGAGTCTTGTCCTTCCTGCTAAGGTTGAGGAGAGCTTTGGTAACTCTTCCCTCATCTCACTGGGCGGTCCCTCTTCTCTTTTGCCTCTGAAGCTCACTTCCTTTCATGCATTCATTCATTCAGTCCTGGTTCATCATCCGATTATGCAACAAATAAGTACTCAGTACCTACTATGTGCTGGTCACTGTGCTACATCCTAGATATGGAGAATCATTCTGTATTTGGTTCCTTAGTAGACTCCAGTTTCACTACCCATATTCCAGACTGGTGGGTCCCTAACAGCCTTACTCTGTGCTCTTCGTTACCTTCTTGAATGTCCTTAGACCTTCCCACGCAGCCCCACCCAGCTGTTTCTTTCAGTCATTGACCCAGCCCTTCAGAGGTTTTCCAGTGCCCCACGTAAATTATGCAGCGTTGAGAAGGGAATCCATATATCCAATGTTAACTTGCTAGTATGCATATTGGACAAAGCTAAAGACTGATTTCCTATAGTAAGAAAGAGAATGAGTTAATGAGACCAAGTGCCAGAATTGGCCCTACCTTTTGTGACTGCTCCCGTGTCTCTCGTCTTCCTTAGACCTCATTTTTCACTGGTGTGACATGTGGAGGTTGGCTTAGAGACCTGGAATCCACTTCAGTTTTAATATTTTGAGAATCTCTAATGCCGAAGTTGTGTAGATGAATCACTTCTTAATTTAAGAGTCAACTACAAGACTTAGCACAATTAAATATTGACTGGCCTCAGGTTCCTAAGAAAGGCAAAAAAGTGTGAACTAAGCACATTGTAATTTGTTGGCAGCACATATGTCCTTAATGAGCGCAGCCTATCTTATTTGAACAGTTGCTTATCCTTGATAACAGTTGTACCAACGCACCCTGGTTCATTAGTGTGCCGATCAGTCTTCCTTTCTGCCGCTTACCACAATTCAGTCTTAAAATTGTGTAGTGCTTGGTCACAACCTTCTGACCCCTTCATCCTTGGAGGTACCTACCCCACCTTCAGCAGATGAGAGCTGTTTCACATTGCACAGTATCTTTTGGTCGGTCCTCAGAGTATGGGCCACACATCCTGGACACGGATATTCTCTGAACTGTGAAACGTCATAGCTTTTTGTGATTTTTAAAGAACTAATATCGGTGTTGGTATGCTTCCCCAACACCAGATTCTTTAAATATGTTGTTTCATTTAGCCTTTACCACAGCCTTTGGAAATATAATCTATTATCTCCATTTTACAGAGAAGGAAATGGGATCGGAGAGATCATTAAATAGTTTGCCAGGGGTCGTATAGCTAGTAAGTGGCAGAGATGAGATTCAAACACAGGTCCTCTCCACTCTAAAAGCATCGTCATCAGGGCCACTGAGTGCCACACTCCGGGGAGCACACTGACATTGTCTTTGCTATGAATGGTGCCCCCTGAGGTTGTGCAGGAATTTGGGGGAAATATTTTAGCCAGCACATCCCTAGGTTTTAAAAAAGGGAGACAAGGGGAAGGGACCAGAGATTATAGGGACTTTTAATTTTTTACCTAGTCTTATTGTAGGCATGTTATTAAGATAGTAACTCAAGTATTTGGGGGCGGGGAGAGTCCTAAGAATGATGGAATTAGGGTGCCTGGGTGGCTCAGTTGGTTAAACGATTGCCTTCGACTCAGGTCATGATCCTCGAGTCCCAGGATTGAGTCCCTCATTGGGCTCCCTGCTCAGTGGGGAGTCTGCTTCTCCCTCTGACCCTCCCCCCCTCTCATGTGCTCTCTCTCTCATTCTCTCTCAAATAATTAAATCTTAAAAAAAAAAAAAAGAATGATGGAATTATCAGGGACCTTTAAAATTACCTTGCTCTTTGTAGTTTTTGTTTTTGTTCATCTGAATTTCAACATATTAAAGAGATGAACTGCTTTGGTGGCCGGGGAAGATGATGGAGCCCCGGCCACTCCCTAGGCCTCTCAGGTACTCTGCATCAGGCCCAACCCTGTCATCAGGAAAACCAAGGCCCAGTGCTTTTGAACTTTACCAAGATCAGAGACCTGGAAGTAAGTCTGCCTGACTTCCAACGAACTATACTTTCTTTAATACCAGTTCACACGGGCTCATCATTTAAATACCTACAATCCCAGGCAGTTCTCCCCTTAATTGTATATACCTCCCATGACCAAGTTCTTTTTCCCCTCGGGGGATAGTCAGTTACACAGAAATGGCGTTGGTGTGCTTGAATTCCCTCCTGCAAATACAATATTCTATCTCCAGAGGACAGACTGGGAAGCTTTGATCTTCTGATGCTAGTTACAGGATCCAGGAGACACATGTACAGTCCGTAGGGCCAAGGGAAGGTCCTTATAACCAGAAGGGGGGCAGGAGGCTCTAAGCAAGTGTGAAGACGAGGGGTATTGGTTTCCTCTCCTGCCTCTGTCAGTATGTTGGCAGCCATCTTCTCTTCCCTTGGATGGTAGGAAGACCAGGAAGCTAGAACCATGTCCTCCAGCCTTGGTCATTCCTGACTTCCACTCTCCCACTCATTTAATTCATTAAAGGTCAGTCACTTTTCAAAAATACAAAGCTATCCATTTAGTTGCTGGGTCCCTAAGCTACCAAGCAATGTAGATTTAACCAGACTGAAGGCAGAGGCATGGAGCCAGTCTGTCTACTGAAAAGTGACGTGGCATACTGAATGACAGGGGCCCTGAAAGCGAAGTCTCAGGTTCATTTCTGAAAGGATAGATGTGTGTTTATCGTAAGCAGAGATGATGATATACTGTTTATATGTGTGATGACACATTTGCACTTCAAGGATGCCTCCAAGGAGTTAATCATATGTGTAGAACTTTAGATTTCAGGAGAGAGACTTGCTTTCAACCAGTTCATTTCAGAGAAACATGGTCTGCCCCCAAATAGTAGTATCAGTTTAGCTAACAGGCCTGTCATATTAAGTCACAGTCTCAAGGGGAACCTTTTTGTATTGCTTTCTTCATTTTTCTTAAAATGTGAGCAAATCCCACATGGCTATCCATGGCTAGCTTATTTACACTGACCTTTTGTAGTGATTACTGTTGGCCCATTATTCTTAGACCCAATGCCGTGGACTATGGGAATTTTCAGTGGTATTGGCAACTTCTGTGTTAGAACCACAATGGAGATTCTTGGCAGACCTGTTTTCTTCTTCAATAAGTCTTGTAAATTATTTTGCAGGAAAACAAATGATTTCTTCTTCAAGGCGAGCTTCTGTACAAATGGAAGCATATCCTAGCATTTTCTCAAACTCGGCCCGAACACCCTTGGCTAACTCGTTGAA